CTAAACTTGGGGGTTACACCAGAGAGCAAGGCAACAGATTATGCCCGCCTCTCAGGAAGTGACACCATTCGATTTGATTTCAAATCAAAACAAAACCCCCACACAGAACCCCGAAATTATTGATCCTTATTATAGAGCAGACACCCAATTGAGCCACAGCCCAGGTCAAGTAAAGGGCGCCACTTGGATCCCTTAAGCCAGGCGTCCTCAAACTACGGCCCGCGGGCCACATGTGGCCCACCGAGGACATTTATCCAGCCCGCCGGGTGTTTTTGCCCCATTTGTTTTTTTACTTCAAAATAAGATATGTGCAGTGTGCATAGGAATTTGTTAATAGTTTGTTTTTTTTAAACTATAGTCCGGCCCTCCAACGGGTCTGAGGGACAGTGATTAAAAAGTTTGAGGACCCCTGCCTTAAGGGCTGGGCATGCCTGGGCCAGAAGTCTTCCCCTCAAGACAAGGCTCAAAGAAAGGGAAATGAGCCCTTTCAAATATGAAAAACCCAAGGTGAAGTGTCTTTTAAAAATGTTATTTCACCCTCACAACTGGACCAATAGGTAACATCCTGATCACGAGAGAAAAGACAGACGTCGTCAAGGATTTCTTCTTACTTGGATCCCCAACCGGTGCTTGTGATAGGTCGGTTTGTTGTGCCAACGTGGCCAATAAACACATGTGAGATTAGTTGAAGGGCGGAGAGATAAATGGATTCCCTTCCTTTCCCTTGGGTGCCTAATAGCTCTGGCTAAGACATCCAGCCCCCAATTGAATAGAAGTGGATGGTAAAGCATCCTTGTCTAGCTCTCGTTCACAGGGGATGCTTTGTTTTCATCTGGTCACAGTAATGTCAGCCATTGGTTTTATATACTGGTCTTTATTATGTTGGGCAATTCCCCTTCTATTCCTATTTTGTAAAGAGCTTGTGTGGGGCAGTGGTTACAAGTTGGATTGTGCACTGCAAGGTCGGCGGTTCAAAAACAGCCAGGGAGAAAGATGAGGCTTTCTGCTCCTATAAAGATTTTCAGCCTCAGAAACCCATAAGGGTAGTTCTCCTCTGTCCTACAAGGTCACTATGAGTTGGAATTGAAATCAATGGTTTGGTTTTCATTAGGAATCGGTTGTTGGAGTTTATCAAATGTCTTTTCTGCTTTGTTTTTAGACTTTAGTACTTTGCTTACATGTGGTTATTTCATTTGATTGTTTTTGTTGAGGATTTTTGCATCTGTGCTCATGGGGGATAAAGGTCTATAATTTTCTTTTTCTAGTAACGTCTCTGCCTTGCTTGGGTATAATAAGGGTTATGCTTGCTCATAAAATGAGTTCAGGAGTTTGCTCCATTTTCCTAAACTCTGGAGTAGTTTCGGTATAACTGGTGCCGAATCAGTCTACGTTTATGAAGTCAAAGTGGTTGATTTTGTTATTTCTTCTGTGTCTCTGTTGAGCTTCTTTTTAGTTGTTCTGTCACCAGCAGTGGCGTATTAAAGATTCTTATTATAAAGCTGTCCATTTTTCTCTTCAATTATGTAATAGTTTGATGAATGCATTTTGAGGCTCTTTAATTGGGTGCATAAACATTTATTATGGTTATGTTCTCTGGTTCAATTGATCCTTTACCCTTCTATAATGCCCTTTCTCTTTCATGCTGGATTTTGCCTTAGAATCTAATTATCAAGCATAACATTGCCCCTTCTGCTCTTTTCTGTTTGGCATTCACTTTTTTCACCCCTCATCCTTTGATTTCTAGTCTATTTTTATCCTTGTATCTAAGGTGTGTCTCTTGTAGACAGCATATGGGTCGGTCTTATTTTCTTATCCATTCTGCTGCTGTCCATCTTCTGACTGGTCTAGTTAATCCATTTACATTCAGCCTGGTTATTGATAGGTATGAATTGCCATCACTTTGCTTTGCTGTGTGTGTGTTGATTTCTTTATTCCACATGATTTTTTGTGCTGAGTTCAATGTGACTTTACTGTCATATTACTCATTGCTTTAGTTTTAGATTCAATATTTTTATATTTTTAATTTTGATGAGGTTCATTCATCTCCTTTGAAGTTATTCTGTGTTTTATTCATTTCTTCCCAACTTAAAATAGTCTGCTCAGATAGATCTGATAGGAGTTGTTGCTATATGTGCATTTACGTTTGTTGCATATACATCCATGAATGTGATGGTGTATACAGGGAACAAAGTGATGACAAGTCCCTAGACATCAACAAACATCTTGAAGAAATGAGTTGCTGACTGGGGTCTCAGGACTACAGTCTCAGGGGACCCCAAGGTCAGTTGGCGTAGTTGGCTGGCATAACATAGTCCACAATTACAATGTTCTATATCCTACTTTTGTGAGTAGCTGTTGAGGTCTTAAAAGTTTAAAAGCCATCTACTGGTCTCACCTGTTCAGAGGAAGTTATGATGAAAACTGAGTCTTATCGAAACAGTTATTCAATGGACTAGTGAACACACAAACCTCAGTCTCCACAAGTCTGAGACCAGAACTAGATGGTGCCCGGCAACCACTACCAACTGCTCTGAAAAGGCACACATTACAAGATCCTAAGGAAGAATGTGGAAAAATGTGAGACAAAACTCGAAATCATAAAAGATACCAGTATAACTGGGCAGATAGAGCTTAAGGGAACCCTCCAGAAGATGGCCCTTAATCACCCTTCAGTTACCGGCAGAGATCTCGGCTCCGAGTTAAAATGATCAGCCATTTAAGGTAAAAAGGGCAGCTTTGACCAAGGACAAGGTACAAGGACCAAGGACAAGGTTAGCAAAGGAGGGATGGAAACCAAACACAGGGAGGCGTTGGGAAACCTGACGGCACAATGAAGGGATGGCAACGATGAGTTACAGCGCCCTGTGTATGAATTGCTAAATGTAAAACTGATGATCTGCTTTCTTCTAAGCCTGCACGAGCAAGGACACTGTCTAACTTGGGAAACCTGGCACTGGCCACGAGGCTGGTCTTAGTCAGCATCCGGACCCGAGAGGTCAAGCATCTGTCGAATTTCACGTCCCAGGATGGAGAGAAAGGGGCTTCTCTGGCCCTCCCCCGGCTTTTCCTCTGCGAGCGTCTCTCCTGTCACAGTAACTAGGAACTTCGAACCGACTGAACAGTAACTTTTTATCTTTGAAGAGGGCCTCGCGCAGACAGAAGCACCAGCCAGCGTTTTAGTGGGCGGAGTCCAGGGAGCATGGGCACCCTCTGGGTCCTGCCCAGTGGGCGGGTCTGAGAGCCTCCCTTTCTACGGAAAGATGACACGCAAATGCGGCGGCTGCGGCCGATTTGGGGCGGGAGCCGGGAGCTGACGTCGTCTTCGGTGTTCCGGCTTCCGGACTGCCCCGAACCGCTCCCCGAGCTCGTTTCGTCATGGCCCCGCCCACCCCGCGCGAGGCCCCGCCCCCTCCGGCGACGCGGCTGCGCAGTGCACGGACACTGAACCGAACCCCTCCCCCGCGCTCCGGGAATAGCCCCGCTGCTGGCCGGGGCGGAAATCCCCGCTGAACCCGCGCTGCCCCCGGGTCCCACTCCCCACTCTGAGATCCTGAGCCCGGTCTCCATCCGGGAAGTTGGTATAGGTTTGGACTACTTTTAATTTTCTCCTAATGCAAACTCCCTGCCACCTAGTCGATTTTGACTCCTGGCCACCCTATAGGGCAGAGTAGAACTGCCCTTTTGGGTTTCCACGGGGCGCCGGCAGCTTCTTCTTTCCCCATGGGAGGGCTGATGAGTTCGAACTGCTGACCCGGTGGTTAGCAGCTCAGCGTGTAGCCCCCTGCGCCACCAAGGCTCCTTGCAGCTGATAGGTAAACAAGTTAATGTCAAAAGCGTCCCCAGGTGTTTTCTTTCTTTCCTAAGGGAGGAAGGACTGGATGACTGACGGGCGGAGATGGAAGGGGACGTGTCACTCAAACCCCGGCCCTTGGTCAGTCAGCCCTAGACCCTACTCCTGGAGGAGGGGCGGTGACCGGCCTGCAGAGACCAGTCAACATTCGCAGCTCCGGTGGCGCGGCCGTGGAACCCACTCTGGGCGAGCCGCGTGCAGCGTGCTTCCCTAAGATTTACCTGGAAACCCCTGTGAGGCAGTTCTACTGTCCTGTAAGGGTGCTTGTAGTTGACGTGGCCGCCACCCGTTTGATTAAGTCTGGTGGTCTGGTTATAGAGCCTTACTTAAAACGAAATGGGCCCCGCTAAGGGTCATGTCAAAGAGCCCTGGATGCAAATGCTTAAGTGCTCTACTGCGGACCGAGGCTGGCAGTGTTCCACAGGAGAAAGACCTGAATCTCTACTTCCGTAAAAATTACAGCCAAGAAAACTCCAGGGGGTAGTTCTACCCTATGGGGTTTCCTGAGTCGAAATCTACGGGGTCTCCCAGCCAACCACAAGGATCACTTCCCAAGGAGGCATCAAGGGAAAGCCCAGGATTCTCAGGCTGAGAGATTGGAGGTGGGGCTGGCAGTATGACAGTGTCCCCAGGCCCAAGCCAGAGCAGACACCACACAGGGCACATCTCTTCCAGGCCAGCACCTGCTGCAGCCAACCACTTCCTTAGAGCTTAACGGCATCCCAGCAAATGCCATCCGCTGCTAGCTGGCGGCAGATCTTTGTTTTTTGGCTCCCTTTCTTTTTGCCGCGGGATTTGTGGGTTTGCTGTTAGAACAAGCCTCCTTCATACCTCAGGCTGTTCTCCCTCTTGCTCGGGATGGGAAGCAGGAACAGGACTCTCACCTGTCTGAGCTCACAGGGGGGCTTTGGGGGATGGTGCCAGCCTGTTCTCCAAACGCAGAGACAATCCAGAACAGAACACTCACTGGCTCCCCAGGCTGACGGAGACAATCCAGAACAGAACACTCACCGGCTCCCCAGGCTGACGGCCCTCGCAGTCTTCAGGGGGGCATTAAGGGACAATGTTATTTAGTCCTGTGTGTGTTTAAATGCTGGGGGTGTAATCAGAAATCTTACGATTCAGAGCAAGGAAAATGACAAACACAGAGTCATGTTGTACATCTATTTTTCTCACACTTCTGGTTGAGGTCTAACTGTACTCACCAAGGATTCAGAAACCACCTCCGGGCACAGATATGTAGGAGAGCGGCACAGAGCCATTGAAACTGAGTGCCCCAACCCTGCTTCTTGGACTCGAGAGAAGCCCTCAAGAATGTACCCAGGAGTCTGAAGTTGTTGAACTCTGCGCTTGGGCTTTGTGCGCCTTAGCTCCTGTAGGACATGGGCCTTCGGAGAGGCATGTCTTTCCCACAACAGATCAGCAAGCCACGGACCCACTGACTAAGCCGCCAACACTCTGTCCTTCCCCTTCTGCTCCATGAGCGATGCCAATCCAGCTGGGTCAACAGGGGAGGGTTCTGTGTATCGTGGCTGAGATAAAGTCATCCCAGGACATGTGCACTGCTTAGTGACCGCACCGTACAGTCTATCAGGAGGTGGCTGTGTCCAGACACAGAAGCCCAGCACAAGGGCTACAGTCCGAGCCTCCTCTTCCCCAGGCGGCCGTGCACCCCTCCTCAGAAGGCCGTGTAGTGGTGCTCCCTGGTGCTGATGATGTCACTCTGGTCCTCCAGGAGCTCCAGCACCTGCTGCAGCACAGCTTCGCTCAGGCCCGGGCTGACACTCAGGCGAGCACAGGCCAAGATGTGCAGGAAGTGGCAGCCCCTCTCCACGTCTGCAGGATAAGAGGCAGGTGGCCGTGCTCAGGCATGTCTAGCAGGCCCTCTCTGTCTTCCCTGTTACATGGAAGCATCACCAGCCCCTGGCTAAGCAAAGTGTGGGCCAAGGCCCGGCGGCATCAGCATCACCTGGGAGCTTGTTTGAAAATGCAGAAGCTCAGGCCCTCCCGAGAGTCTCTGAGCCAGAACCATCTGCCCCAGAGGATTCGTGTGCACACAGAAGTTGAGGCCCACCAGCCTAGACCGTCAGCCCAAACGACACAAAACAAGACACTGACACTCCTGTACTCGGTCCCACTGCCCCAGCCACGTGGGTTCAGCTCTCTGATGGCCAAGAAGCCCAACCAGTGATTTAGATGCAGTGGCCCTGCCCTTGACCATCTTTTCCTTGGAGACAGTGACACCGATGAGAGCATCCCCGCAGTGTTGACCCCTGGCGTCCCAGGCAGAGCCCGCCTCAGTTTCACAACAGAGCAGGGCAGCGGGGGCTCCGTAGTCTCTCAGTCCTGATTGGATGGGACCAGTCAGGTGACAGAGGGACTCCTTCCTTGGGCCTGTTTTCAATCATCTGATGGAGCCAAGGAGCCTTGCCTGATGGGTTCTGGCAAGCTTTTCCTTTCTCCTGGGGCTAAGGCCACGTGGCATATAGTGGCACCCATTCCAGGTTTAGGAGCGGGGTCCTAAAATGGTTGACTGACTTAAGCATAGCATTCACCACAGGCTCTGACCCTGAGTGAGGGTCATGCCAGCAATGTCTTGGGTTGTGGTTTGCTTACCTTTCTGTCTTTTGTTTTTTTCCCTACCACAGTGAGTAAAACAGAAAAATAACACATTGCATGACATTTAGGGATAGCGTTAGATTTTGAATTTTCATTTCCATTATATATCGCTTATGAAATATCATTATGAACTGACTGGGTCATGATGTGGAGGTGGGATTCCAACGCTGAATAAAGGTCTACCCGACCTCCCACAGAGAAGCCCGCCCACGTCCCTCCCCTGCCGTGTGGCACTGCTCCAGACCACCATGCAGCGAGTGCTCCTCCCAGAGGCTCAGGAGCCTTTGTGGCCTTGGGCAAAGTACAGCGAGGGATGCATCCTCCAGATGCATCTGGCCTTAGCTCTCCCAGCCTCAGCCTCCTCAGGGGCCAGTGGGATGAGCTGGAAGCACCAACCCGAGGTCCCTTGCACTGCGAAGGTTCACGAGTTGGATAAATTCCGGCCTCCAGTGGCTATGTCAGCTCCCAGTGGGGGTGACTGTTGGAAAATCTACCACCATCCGAGGTCTCCACCCTAACTGGCTGGGTGCTGGGGAGGGGAAGCCGGTGGGAGAGCAGCCCCGGGAGGGCTGACTGGAGGCAGGCCTGAATTTCAGTCGGGGCTCGGTTACACATCATCCATAAGAGGGGAAGCACCACCTACTTCACAGAAGCACCTCCAGGGACTTGCTGCCAGGCCAGAAGCCACCGAGTGCTGATGGTCCTAGTGTGAAACAGAGCCTGTCCCCGTTTTCCGGGGCTACCGTGAGTGTAAGCGAGGGGGGTGGGCTCTTTGTTGGCACTAGTCCTTTGACTCTCCTGTGGGCGGAACCCCTTCAGAGGAGCAAGTTGAACTAAGGTGACACCTTCGGGGGGGAGGAGTGTCTTCCTTTCTGGTGTGGGGCCATGGCTGCGCCCCCACACTAAAGTCAGATCTCAGATCTTTAACTTTAACCCATTGAGAATAGAGAAAATTCACTCAGAGCCCCAGCTACAACTGCTTCCTTCTAGAATCTGGGTCAACATGAAACCCAACAGAGCCATCCTCTGAGTCTCCAGGCTGGAGGGTTAAAGGCTGGCACCTGTGCCAGGAGGTCAGCCGACACGGCACTTGTCCTTTCACAGCCCTGAAAGGCGCCCGGCGGCGTGCTGGGTGACAGGGTGGGCTGCCAATGCAAGGCCAGCAGTTCAAACCCACCAGCCACCCCATGGGAGAAAGACGAGACTTTTCTGTTTCTATCAAGATTTCCAGCCTCGGAAACCCACGGGCGTAGTTATTCTCTGTCCTAGGGTGGCTCGGCAGTCAACACAGACCCGATGGCAGTGAGGCTGGTTCTTGGTTTCTATATTCCCACCGCCACATAGTCCATCCCAACTCACAGCGACGCTTCCTGGGGTTTCCCAGGAGCAGACCCCCTCATCGTTTCCCCAAGGAGTAACGGGGAGGTTTGAACCACCACCTCACGATCAGCAATCTAACACTGACCAGCAGCACCACACAGCCCTGTACTCTTCAGACAGTTTCAGAAGCACCGATTCATTTCATCCTCACAATCAGCAATGCTATCAACCAGAAAACTCACTGCCATCCAGTGATGCCGATGCACAACGCCCCTATCGGGCAGGGCAGCATTGCCCTCGTGGGTTTCTGAGACTGCAACTCTTGATAGAAGTAGAGAGCCTCAGCTCTCTCCCTAGGGGTAGCTGGTGGCTTTGAACTGCTGACCTTAAGGCGAATAGCCCAACGCATAACCACTACACCACCAGGGCTCCTTGAGCCAGTGATATAGGTGGCTATTATTATCATCCCCACCTTGCGTATGAAGAAACTGAGGCAAAGATTACTGAGCTGTGGTCTTTTCCCGCTTGTAGGATGGCCTCGGCAGGGACTTATAAATGTCAGAGGACCTTAAGTCATTCCATCGCTCATTCAGACAGAGAAAAACTCATGCCTCGTGGTTATCAGGGCTTTTTGGAAATGAGCTACAGGCCAAGCGGGAAAGGTTTAAAGGTGTAGCTGGATACCTGTCTCTACAAATAATGGAATTCAGTGCAGATCTTGAGAGGCTCTTCACTGGAACGTAGGTGACTGCTAACTAAAAAGAGGTCAGTTGGAGTTTACCTCAAGGTGCCCTGGAAGAAAGGCCTGGCGGCCACTTGGGAAACATCAGCTCATGGAATCTATGGAGTGGAGCTCTGTTCCCCCTCAGGGCACCCCCCTCAGAGGCAGCCCGCTGCCTACTCACTCACTATTTCTTTAGAAACGTCATCTAAGCAGTATACCGAGGTGTATAAAGGATCTCTAGAAAGAAAGAACCAGTACTTGGGATGGGGATGGGAGCTGGCGTGGGGCGTAAGTTTGACATTTCTGTGGGTACTCTGGTCCTGTTTGACTGTACGGTGCCCACATGCTATTATTTATAAGAACGTTTCTCATGCCAGAGCTGTTTCTCATGGAGAGGAGGGTGGGAGCGGAACTTAGCAGGTATTTACAGGCATTCCCAGTCCACCCTGCTTGGGTGCCACGGAGAGGTTGTCAGCACCAGGTGACTGGCTCCCGGCTTTCAGAGGCAGCTCCCACTGCTGGACACAGAGGCGGAGCCTGTCCACTTTGACACACACACTCCCCGGAGCAGGAGCAGGCACAGAACCAGGGGCTTTTGTGGTCCTTTGGGCCACATAGGCTGTGGGGTCCTCTGGGAGATGGGGTGTGAATTCCACTGATTTGCCTCACCAAGGCTTGTGTCAACTAATGCTGTTCTTGTCGTAACTCAAGCAAGAATCCAACACAGAGGCCGGTACCAGAGCTAGCTCAAGAACCAGCTCTCGGCCCTGTTGTTGGAGGGATCCCACATTTCAAAAAGTCATTACATGCATCTCAAATTGTGGGCGGTGTCGACACAACCTAGGGCCTCTCCTACCCTGAGACCAGAAGAACGAGATGGTGCTCAGACACCACTTTGGACTGCCATTCTGTCCAGGGGGCCGGTAGCAGCCCCACAGAAAATGATAGAAAATGCAGGACAAAACTCAAATTCCTTGGAAAGATCAAACTTCCTGGTCTGATGGAGACCACAGGAAGCCCCGAGCCTTCCAGCCTAGAACATACCCTTCTAACTGGGAACTGAAGCCACTCCCAGGCGTCTGCCTTCAGCTGAACAATAGACTGACGGAGAACAAACAATATTATCACGCATCAGGGTTGCGCTCCCTCTGACAATCAACTGCCAGGTCAACGTTCACCTGGGAGCAGAGGAGCAGACAAGGAGGGGCAGGGAAGCTACATCCCGGGAAGAGAACAAACAAACTGCACATAGTGAGAGTGCTGACACTGTAAGGGCTGTAACCAACGTCACACACAGTCTGTATAAAATGCCTACAAGGGGACCCGTCTGGTTGTGCGAACTTCCACCTGAGCCACAATCCTTTTTTCCCCAGACGCAAGGGTACTTGTTCTTAGTGATCTGATTGGTCCGAGGAGCAGCTGGGCAGTCCTGCACTGAAATAACAGATTGCCTCAGGTTCACCTTAAGGCCTGTGGTCAGACCACCTGGGCTCTGACCTTGTTGGGTTGAAAGGCTACACAGGGTGGTGCACCACTGATGCCCGGGCTGGGGGCCTGGCCACTCCACCTGTGATAAGGCCTGGAGGGAACCCAGGTGCCATGTGAGTGGGCAGGAAACATTGGAGGTGGCCTTCTCTGGAGAGAAACAAACCAGGGTCGGGCTCGCGGTCAGGCCTTCTACTTGCTTCTAGCATCACAGAGTCAAAGTCATTGCCAGCAAGCACATGTTTGCAAAAGGCAGTGTTGAAAAGTCACCTTTAAGACCGGCCAGTGTCCCCAGGTGCCTACAGATAAGAGTGATGTTTTCTTCTCTGCCGAACCACAGCTTCAAACCTGGTTCATTTCTGTTTGCCACTGGGCCTTGCTGAGAATTTGCCTTTCCACTACGGAATACTGGTTCTATCCTTTAACAAGATCCCCAGGTGAGTCTTCTGTATCGATAAACATCCCTAAGACCTGTCAGTCACCCAGGGGATCTTGCTAAACTGTAGATTCTGCTTTCCTGTGTCTGGGGTGGAGAGGCAAATTCTCAGCTGGGGGTTGACCAGGGCCAAACCAGTTTGGGAACCCTGTTTCTAACTAGTGTGGAAATGCCAACATTCCTGTCACACCACCTACAGTTGGAGTTTCTAACCACTAGGGGGTGACACAATGCCACTAAAGATACTAATCACCACTTCCCAAGGTGGCTGGACTCATTCACTCACTGCCTTCCAGTTAACCCTGCCTCCTCCCGACCTTGTGGGTTTCCGAGGACTTGCTATTAGGTGCAGCTGGGTCGGTTCTGACTCATAACGATGGAGTAGAAAGCCCCATCTTTCTCCAAGGGAGCAGCTGCTGTGATCACTGTTGACGAGAGCAGAAAGCCTCGTCTTTTCCTCCGCTAGTAGTATCACACTGCCGACCTTGATGTTAGCAGCCTGACACATAACCACTTCACTACCGGGGCTCCTCTAGGCTAGCGGGGAGACAGACAGGCGGTAACTTGGATGCAGGGGAGGATAATATCCCAGGAGCAGGTGAAGAGAAATCAAAGGGGTGTGGGGGACTGGGTAAACTATTGGGGGATTTGATAAATAGTTGTTGCATACAAAATTGATGATCAGAAATGTAAACCTCCACCTCATGCACAATTAAAAAATATTGTTTAAAGATTATCATTAAAAAAAAAAAGTCTAGGGCCAAACCACACTGGATCAGAAGTGTCAGAATGACTTGGAGCTCATCTGTCCAGCCTCCGCCCCACCCCATCCCAGCGAATCAAATCCCCAGGGGCAGGCCCCAGGGCAGAGGTAACACCGGCCTTCTCTCAGCTCATCCGGCTAGTGTACGAACGTGGGAAAGCCTACCAGGGCTTCTGGAAAGCTTTATACAAACAGAAGGTGTTGACGTTACAGGGTAAGGGCACTTGTAATATTTTACAAGCTCCAAGGTTGAATCAGAGGTCAGAACAACTGGGCCAGCCCAACATGCTTTACAGGGAGGAGGAAACAGGCTGAGAGGGCAGGTACCTGGACTAATCTCCCCTCAGCCCCACGTCCCAGGTCTTCAGCTTTACACCCAATGCTCCCTGGAGGGGCCGCCCGCTCCCAGGGGTGCCAGGCTCTCCCCACTTACGATTTGGCTTCCGGCAGTCTTCTTGGATGATGCGGTGGACCTTCCTGAGCAGTTCTTTGTTCTCCCTGGTTACCTAATAGGAAAGACACCCAGAGAGAAAGCAGGCTTTAACCCCGCGCACGTGACACTACACATCTTGATGAGCATTTACGGCAGTTTGGAAAGATTTCATGAGGCCTCCTTCCCATGCCAACAATTCAAATTTCAATACTTGGCATATTGTGAACCCAGTTCTGTCCGAAAGCAGCTGACCATCGGCCGGCCCCAGAGGGGTGCCCTCGCCCCGTAGTGGCAGCTAGATCTCTGGGGCTATGGTGGGAGGATGGGAAATCTGACCTTTGAGGTAGCAACTTTCTTTTTAAGCATTCAGAACACAGTCCGCAACATGTTCTTGTTTCGATAGACGGATGTTTGAGGGAGACCAGATGATCAAAGTCTCGGCTCCCTGACACCCCTGTGTCTGTCCTTGTCCTATGATTCGGTACTTTCTTCCTGGTCTAACCACGATGAAAAGGTGGGGAAGGGAAGGGAAAGCTAACAGGAGAGTAAACAGCTTAGCCATTGAAAGCAGTTTAAGTTCTCAAAGGCAACATAACCTACTTCCTCTCTCCACCAGCTCAGGTGAGAGGGCTGCAGCCAGAGGTGCCTGGGCCGCACGTCACTCAGTGGTTGAGCATGACAAGGAGGAGCTGATAGCAGGGCTCCAGTGGAAAGAACCTGTTGTGGAAATGATGACGGCAACATATGCACAAGGGTGCTTGACCCAATTGAGTGGTGGATTGCTAGGAGATATGTAAGAGCCCCCAATAAAATGATCGATTAAAAGAAGAAAGACAAAAGGGGGGGGGGAAAGGCAGTGGGGGGGGGAGGAAGAAAGAAGCCTGCAAACAAACAGAGCTGGAGGTTTCCGCTTAGCGAGGCCAGACATGTTTGTCGGACCAGACACACAGGATGGGTGGTGGCAAGGCCTGCCTTCTCTCAGCTCACCCGGCCCTAGTGAGGATTGAATATAGTACAGCGTATGAGAGTTTTGGGGAAGCATTATACAAACAGAAAGTCCTGATGTTAGAGGGTAATAAGTTCCCGGAGGTAGGGTCTCAGGAGAAGGAAACCCAGCAGGCCGGCCAGGGAGGCGGAAGGGCAGTAAACTCAGGGAAGGGGCTGGGGATGCTGGGGAAGAGAGCCTTTTGGCTCCATCACCCCATTCTCACTCACAGTGATTCACAGGAGGAAGTGGCTCAGGCTCGCCACACCTTGGCCCTGGCCTGATGCCCAGCCCGGCCACTCCCCAGGAGGGGCTCCCTCTACAGACCACGAGGCAGGCTGCCCAGAGGGTGGGGGTGCATGTGTGTCCCTTCCCTGCAGGGGGTGGCTGGTTCCCAGCTGGCCTGCCCCATGCTGGAGGGAGAGGAGCCGCACACGCCCCTTACATAGATGGGAATAAATTCTAATAGTATTGAAGACAGGCCCTAAACTACCAGATCACTCCAGCAGATCCACATCAGGAATCTGCTATGGCGGAATCACCCCTCAGTGGTGAGACTTCTGGGACCTGTCTCCCCAGGCCACTTGCCGGCCTGCTTCCTCCACTATCAAAGGCGCCATGAGACAGCGGGTGGATTTGGCTTTTTAGTGAGGGGGTGGAGCCCTGGTGGCACAGAGGTTAAGCACTAAGCTGCTAACCGCAAGGTCAGCCGTCTGGCCCATCGGCCCCTCCCCTGGAGAGAGGCCTGGCAGTCAGGGCCCTAAAGACTCAGGCAGGGCCGGCCTGTCCTGGAGGCCCACTGCACTGCGCTCCCAGTGGAGAGGTGCATCTGATAGGTCAGGTGCTCACTGCTAACCCCAAGGTGGGAGGTGGAGTCCACTCAGAGCCTCGGGAGAAAGGTCTGGTGATGGGCTTCCGAAACAGCAGCCAGGGAAACCCCATGGACTCACCTTGCGGCCATTTGTGTTCCTGACAAGACAACGTTTTCCCGCTCTATCGTCAACAAGCATTCGCACTCCTGATGGGAAAGCCCACTGCAATAGCCGTTTGGGGGGCCGATCAGCCTGTGCTGACTGACAGCTTAAACATGCACACCCTTTGGTCCTGCAATTCCCCTGTTTCTTAAAATGAGCCCACGGAGAGAGCCAGTCTGTGCCAGCAGAGTTGGAAACCGCCTGAAGCTCGACGCAGTGAGCGGTGGTTTAAACCACAAAACACCACGACACCTTGGCCAGTCTCAACCACAGGGAAGCCCAGGTCGGTGGCTTTGGGCTGTTTTCTGAGTACCAGTATGTACGGAGGCCCGTGGGGAAATATTCTGGTATTGAAATAGTTGCTGAACATGATTGGGAGCAGTGGTTCTTGACTGTTGCAAGAGACACTTGTCAGTGTCTGAAGACATTTCTGGTTGTCGCGGTTGAAAAGTGCTACTGACACTTAAAGGAGGCCTGGTGGCGGTGGCGCGGTGGGTGAGGCACTGACGGCTACCTGTGAGCTTGGCAGTTCAAACGCACCAGCCGCTCCACGGGAGAAACACGAGGCTGTGTGCTCCCATAAAGATCCACAGGCTCAGGAACCTGAAGGAGCAGTTCTCGGACCTAGCGCATGGCTGTGGGCCGGAATGAACTCACTGGCTGTGAGCTTACTAGCATCTAATGGGCAGCGGTCAGGGATGTTGCCGAATCTCTTTCAATGCATAGGGCAGCCCCCCAGCAGAGACCCATCAGGCCAGTATGTCAACTGCACCGAGGCTGCAGCATTCACAGGGATGTTTTAGGGGAGATGAGCCAAGAGCAACCACCAGTCACAGGTTTCTTACATAGTAGAGGTTACCCAAACCATCTTCTTTCTGGAAAACCAGGCCCTTGTCCTGCAGCAGCTGTAGAGCATTCTTAAAGATTCTGTGGATAGCCTTGGAAGTGGTGTCCTTCTTAAATTCCACCTGTGGGAAGAGGACAAAGAAAGAAAGGAAAACAAGCCGCAGAAGGAAGTGAGGCTATCAGACCCACTCTAGCCAACCTGAGAGCAGCCCCCTAGGCCGCTGGCTGGTTGAGGAATTTGCCTGCTAGGCGCTCCATCTGCCGAGTCAGAAAGAAGCAGGTGTGCTCAGGCCTAGCCAGGGTGGTGTTTAAGGGAGAGAGACGGTTCGCCTGGGCAGGACCATACCTGATAACCCTCCCACTTCACTGTGGTTTTCTTGTCTCATTCTGTGGTAGGGGCGATAACCTCACAGAGCTATTGGCGTGATCTTTCACTTTGTTTGTAAGACAGACCACACATATTGAGGTGACTGGTGATTCGGCGGTAGGATTCTTGCCTTCCATTCAGGAGACCTGGCCAACACACCTCATGGTCTGTCTGAAGAGGCTTATGTGTCCTGAGATGCTGAACAGGTCCCAGCAGAGCTTCCAGACAAACACAGACCAGGAGGGAGGAAAGGCCTGGCGATCCACTAAAAAACTGGGCCAATGGGAACTTTGTGGGTCACGACGGTCTGATATGCAACGTATCAGGAGGATGGATTTGCTCTGCTGGGGACGGACGGGGTGGCCCAGAGTCAGGGGGCCAGCTCCAGGGCTGCTCACAGCAGCAAGCAGTGCATGTACATTATCTCCTTTCTTCGTGGAAAGTGTGGCTAGCTACAATCTCTCCTGGGGACTTGAAAGAATTATTGTACGCACATTGCAACAATCTAGGAGCCCAGTGTGTCGTCGGTGACAAAACTTGTTTTAGGGGGCGGATGGTGGTGGCCCACAGCCCTGGCCAAGGTGAGCCCCGGAAGCAGACAGCGGAGAGGAGTCTGAGAATGAAGCACACCCAGAAGGAGCCTCTGCTGTGACCAGCTTTCTACGTGCTCACTCTCAATGAGTCTCCTGTAGGAGGGGGGTTTGCTTAGAGGCACCAGGTCAGCCCGTTTCTTATGGCCACCGGGGTCTTCACTGGGCAGAGGAAGCAAGGGCACAAGGTATGTCCTGGAAACTCAATGGTGTGCTTCTTGAGCAGGCCCTCTGTGTCCTGTCACACACACACACACACACACACACACACACACACACACACCCCTGGCACACAGTGGGCAACGAAGGAAGACTGGGGAAGCCAGACGAAATGAATGCCCCAGTAGAAAATGCCATCATCCTGGTGACTGTACTGGGCGTTTTCGGTGCATTCTCAAAACAAAGAAAACGATGACCAACAATTGTCCTCCAACCTGCAGAGCCACCTTTAAAGTACAAGGGATTCATCAAGACGTCAGGACATTGCCCCAAGGACATGTGGCAGTGTTTGGAGGCAGGCCTGTCTGTCATGGAGGTTAAGGAGCTAAGAGGGTGGGTAGGAGGAGCTGAAGACGGTGCCTCAAAGGAGGGGTGGGGAGAAGAGAGAGCCCCACCCCCAAGTGGTCTCCAGGGCTGACCGTCCACCCTTCTGAAGAGGAGGTCTCCCAAACAGGCATTTTCTTAGTCTGGGAGACCCTTAGATCCTGGTGACTGTGCACAAGCAGGCTTTCTGGCTTGAAGATGGCAGTCTGAGACTCTCCATTCGGTGAATTATCTACGCTTTTCCGGAACTGAGCAAGGTGGAGACCCTGACTGGGAGAGCATGAGGGCCTACGAGTCAGCAAACATTCCAGTCCTGACAGCACCCGTGCTCTGCAGGGCGAGAGAGAAGCTGACAACTCCCACAGGCAGAAGAACTATGCGGGCGTGGTTAGAATAAACACCTCATCTAGCGTAATCCTCCGCCACACAGCTTTGGACTCAAGGGGGCTGAAGGGAAAGCTGTTTTCTCATGTTACACACGAGGGCTCTTCCCGAGGGGAAGCACAATCCACCCAAGACGGACTCCTTCATCGTCAACATCCCAGGACTTGCCATCTGAAGCCCGTTTAACATTGGAATCTGAAGGGCTGAGTCCCTGGCGCCTCTCCCTCAGAGGGAGACGTTGGGAATGAGCCAGCAGGGACTGGTGCAGTTACTCTTGTTGGTGGCCACCCTGGAGTGGACCCGGATGGCATGGTGACTCCGTGCCCATCAGCAGACAGATCCTGCTCCGGCCCCTCCGTCAGTTTCAGACCAGACTGCTGTGGGCCAGCAGGCTCTCCTTGGCTGACTTTTGGAAGGAGAACTCCAGGCCTTTCCTCCTCAGGTGTCTCAGTCGTCCAGTACCGAGCAACACACAAGCCTCTGTGGGTAGTTGTGGTACGTGAGGTGCGTCTGCTGGCAACCTGACCCTGCTCCCTCCCATGGAAGACAGAAGGCTACCGCCGAGCCACGGGCACCTGAGACACAACGAGGGCCGTCATTGAAGGTGGCTATCCTTGCCGGAGGCCTGGCTCCTCCTCCCAGATTTCAAAAATATGCCAAGCAGCGAGGAGAGTGGGCACTCAGTCTGCGGGATCAAAAGCCCCGCAGAACTGTGGACAGAAAAGACTTGATACTAAACAATCAGGGGTGCTTCCCATCCAAAAACCTTTGCCTCGGCTGACCTTGGCTTCCCTGGCCTGGCCAGGAAGACTTCAGGCTCCCAGGCCAAGAGCATCCCCTCGCCTCTCCGGTGCAGGCGTAGCTCTTCCTGGGTCAAACGGGCCCCGGGTCCTTCTTGTCTTTTCCTCCAGGGCAGTGGCAGACACCCTGAGTCAGGAGGCTGAAACTGCTCCCGGGGGAGAGCAGCGACAGGCTGAACCTGCTGAGCCTGAGCAGCCTCGGCTCAGGAACTGGGTGGGTCTCCGAGAAGTGTATATATAGTCTTGGTTCCCAAACAAGCTCCACATTCATCCAGCTGTCACAGAAACAATGGCTCTGCGAGCCCGGCTGATCATGTTTCTGGATTTGCGAAGAAAGGCCAGGGTGGGGTGAAGAAAAAAACAAAAGGAAAAGAAAAGGGGTTCCCACTCGCGCCCCCACCCCACTGGCGGAAAACTCAAACGCTTGAGCACCATCGCCCTGGGTTGGGTATACTTTTATCCATGACAACAGGAAACGCCAAAGGCTCTCGGGTTTCACCACTGCGGCCCAAGAAGGCCATTCTTCCAGGGCTCCAGGGAACAGCGGAAGCTCATGACACTGACCTCCCCTGCCCAAACAAAACAGTGACAGGGAGTGATTAATTCATAATTGATCGAGAAGTCGTTTCCAAAGACAAAACAAACCCAGTGCCCAAACTCATTTCTTCGCCAGTGTTGTTTCTGCTCCAGGTGGTTTTGAAAGGTTAGCACCCCAGAAGTCGCCGGTAGATCATTTTGCATGGGAGCGCCTCTTTTCAGTCCTCCAAGAGGCCTAGGTCTCTAGCAGCTGTCACAGAGGCATGAGCTGGGGGACAACGCTGCCTGCCGCAAGCCTGCATTTCCTTCGAAACATGCCGATGGGGTGGGCAGACATCCGGGGAGGCCAATTTGGCAGCGAGCCTTCTCTAAATGATTAAATGTGGAAAGGGTCGGCCTGCTGTCAGCAGCAAGCTGGGAGAGACTCAAGGGCCAAGGTGTGACCCTGTGCCCTGGGGCTCCTTGAAACGCTATCCCTCCTCTCTGGGGTCAGCAGTCCACAGCCTGCTGCCAGGAAAAGGTAATTAGGGGCGCTCATGAGATGCAGTGATGGGGCCCAGGAGGTGGGACTGGTGACCCCATATCGGTTCCACCATGACAATAAAGCAAACGCACGCTACGTGACAAGGGTATGAAGAGAAACCCTGTTGGCCAAAGGCTGGAAATCATTACACGGTGCAGAGACGGCGAGATGACCTGCGTAAACGTTGGGACGTGCTAACCAAAGATGATGGGCTAACAGTGACTCTGGGCATGCTACGTGACTGGACCTGAAAGAGCAACCATGCTCACTGAGAAGCCGGGCACAGACTGGTGTGAGTCCTGCTATCATTTATGTTCAAAAGAGGATACTAATAATCGTTTTATGTGCACAGACGTTCTATAAAAAGATATTCAAGAGACTAGTGAGGGTGCTCGGCTCTAGGGGAAGGGGATGGGCAAAACACTTACTTTAACCTGTATCATTTTGAGCTTTTGAAGAAAAAGTTTTGATTTTAGTAAAAATACATGTTGCCAATTCAACATTTTTTACACATCCAATTTCGACACGCTGACTACGGCCATCATGTGTGCAAACCGCATCAGTATCCATTACCGAAATTTCCATTATCGTTTAATGGGTGCACACGTTGCCTTCGAGGTAGCTGTGCCTCATGGCGACCCTGTAGGGCAGGGTAGAACAACCCCTGTGGGTTTCTAAGACTGTAAATCTTTATGGGAATAGAAAGCCTCATCTTTCTTCCAACAGAGCAACGGAGGGGTTTGAACTGCTGACCTTGGGGTTATTAGCAGCCCAATGAGTACCTACCGGTCTTTTTCAACACATAAACAGTGTTTCCTAAAAGCATTTGAATTTCTAAAAACCATTCATTCCTTCAATTAAGAATTACTGGGACCCTGTTGATGCCTACCCTGTTCTAGGTGTTGGGGACAGAGCAACGAACCAGGCAGACAAGACGTCTGCTACCAAAGGGAGGGTGGAGGGACAGGCAGGCCGACCAATAAATTAAGGTGACCAGATTTAAAGCAGGACACCATTGACCTGGGAGGGGGGGGTCCTTGATTAAAAAGTTGGTCTATGTGGACCAAATAGACCGTTCCCTAGCTTGTCGTGCATTCTTTAAAACAATCGGGACTTTTTTAAAATGCCAAAAATCCGGACTGTCTCGCCAAAAGCGGGACGTCTGGTCACCTTACAATAAACGTCATTGACATCAAGAGATGGGAGGATAGGAGGCTCTGTGGTGAGAGCTCCCGCGCCTATAAGAACAGATGCCGGGGAGGACAAGAGGTGACGCTTAACCTGAGATGATTCCTGGGAGGATGGAATAAAGCAAAGAATGAATGAATACGGGTTGTGTTACCACAACAAAAAGCTGTAGAGATGGTATTGAAAGGAAAGTCTAAAAGCAAAGTCTCAAATAATTCTTCATCCTAAGCAATTAAATAATTTAAGTTAACCTGTCACATTCATAATAAAACAACTTGGACAGCTAAAAAAAAATTGTAGGAAGTCCCTAGTTACAAACACCCCAACAGCCCATAGTTAGGGACCAATCCCTCTAACCCCTTCCTATTATATTGAAATTTTGAGATACATACAATGGTTTGTAATAACAAACAGGCATTACTTTGCTTGTGCATCAAAACATTACTATTATTTTAGTATTATGTTAAAGATGTTTTCATGTTTCTTAAATGTGTTTTACCCATGGAAAGGGACACAATATAGTAAACTGTATGCTTAGTCAAATTAGCTGACTAAGTGGCGTTAGACATCAAGCCATTCCTGAACTGTTTTGGTTCACACATAAATCCAACTTAAAGACAGACAAGAACACAACAATTTGAGGACTCCTTGTTCTAGAAATGGTTTGAAATGTTCATTTAAAAGTTTTTACGTACTGATACAACTAGGTCTTTATTTCAGTATAAATAGAAACCAAACTGACTATCTCCAAGTCGATGCTGACTCATGAGGGCCTACAGGACAGGATGGAACTGCCCCCATGGGTTTCTGAGACTTTATGGCAGTAAAAAGTCTCATCTTTCTCGCAAGGAGCCACTGGTGGTTTTGAACTGCTGACCTTGTGGTTAGTAGCCCAACACATAACAACTACATCACCAGGGCTCCTAAAACAGGACAGGTTCGTTTTATTCTGAAGACCAGAAAGCAAACCATTTAAAATCCTTGGTTCAAGTTCAAGAATCTCTTGCTGAACAATAATAACTTTAGGATGATAATTACACCTTCCTGTTGACTGCCCCCTCATTTGACTCCCACGGGGATGAACTACCCAGCTCAGTGAATTCTAAGAACCGGTACTAAGAACCTTAGGCTATTATTATTGATTTTTTTGCTACGCATACGTGGTTAATTTCAGTAACGCGGGGAAGAAGCCAGGTGCACTCTCATTTCACATTCTTCGTGGTCAGTGACTTTGGCAGACAAGAACCGACACGTGCCAGGACCACCAGCTGACCCTTGGGTCTGTCCCTGTGAGCCTCCGTCCCATAGGCGCATCCACCGTGCCCATGAGCTGTCGAGGCAGGGCGAGTCCTCCCTTGGGCGCGCGGCACTCACCAGGTCAGGGCTGGTCTCCAGGGTCACAGGCTGACTGGCCAGAGCCAGCAAAGGCTCCACCATTTCCAACTCCTGCTGGTAAAAGGTCTGCACTCTGTTCTCCACGAGGAATTCTCTGGCTTTGTCACTCAGCAGACACGTGAGGTCAGCGAGGGTCAGGGTGCCCGGGGTGCTGTTGGGAGAAAATTCAGAAAACGATGCCCGTGTTCCTTTTTGTACGTGTGAAACCGAAATGCAGCTTGCATGCGCAGCGCCATGGTCATGGTCATGCGTGTGCCTGGAACCAGGGCGATTCATACAGTGAACAGGTTGTGGCAGTTTAAAAGGTGAGGCGGAGGGAAGTGAGCTCACGAAGGGATTCCTCTGAGTTCAGAAAATGTCTCGTGACAGACAAGCAAGCAGCGGAGGGCTCGTGTGTGCAGAAAGCAGATGAGGACCCACAAGACGCACGGGCACCGTGAAGCTTGTGCACGCACAGCAGGAAGCAGGTCTCGGGGAGGCACGTCAGGCTAGGAACAACGGTAACCTCGGGGAAATGGAACTCAGGTGGAAATAAAAGGAAATCAGCGAGCTTTACTTTGGCGCTATAGTGATTAAACGATTGGACTGCGCTCCTCAAACTCGGCAGTTTGAAACCACCATTTCCTCCTGGAGAGAAAGATGGGACTTTCTACTCTGGTATAGAGCTACGGTCTCGGAAACTCACGGGGCCGTTCTCCCCTGTCCCACCTGGTCACTAGGAGTCGGCGTCGACCGGAGGGCAGAGAGAGAATCTCTGCACTTACCTCCTTACAGTCCGTACTCCTCCATATAAGTTTAAAACACGCACTATATTCATGGGTTGGGCAAATGAAAAGTGCACATGAAAAGTTTCCTTTCTGCCCTGGTTCCGTCCTGATCGTTCCAATCCCCACCCACTCAGGAGCCACTGCTACTGGCTCTCTGGAGCCCTGCCCAAGCTCCTCTATACCTATACTGGCTAACAGGTGTATATTCTGATTGCTCCTGGGTTACTGTCCCACTATAGAGGCCTGCACCTCCATACCGTGCCTCTTACACTACAAGGCTCACGCTTGTAGAATGAACATACTTACAATCAAACATGCACGAGGCTTATAACAGAGTCCCTGGGTGTTGCCAGGCATCAGGACTGACTGGTCGGAAGTGGTGTGTGTGTGGTACACAGAGGGCAAGTCAAAATATATTGCTACTGGGGTGAGGGTGGGGGGGCGGGGTTCCAGTTCATATGCTCAAGATTTAATCCAAACCAAAGGTGTTTCCACATATCTCTGCCGTCAGTGGATGGCTACAGGCAAGTTCTCTCAGTGATGTACTTGCCTGGTCTCATTAGGGTACTTTTAAAAAGGTCTGATCAAAACAGTGACATCTGCCGGGGCCAGTTCAATTCAAGGCAGAGAGATGGGCTCAGAGGGGTGATGCCTGTCTGGCGGCATGCCAAAGGGGTGATCTTGACAGATTTTTCTCACAAGATACAACACCATCATGGGGCGTATTATCCACAAGTTTTAATGACATGATAAATTGCACTGGTGAGAAAAAAAGACCAGGAAAGTTGCACCGATACCTTTTCCCCATCACCAAATGTACCTGCTCACCCTTCAGGGATGCCAAGGGCTGTCTTATGAGAATCTCACTGGGGACTGTTCCCCGCTACCCTACAGCCCTGATCTTGCCCTTCTAGCCTTCTTTTTGCTTCCAAAACGCATATAACACTTCCAAGGAGCATGATTTGAGCTTTCATGTGGTAGAAACCAAAGGGCATAGAATCGGGAGAGGGTTAGAGAGATGGAAACAAATCTTTCAGAAAGTACAGCCCTCGATGGAGGATATGCTGAGAAACGATAGCTACCTATTTCACTATTTTTGTTTAATAAAGGTTTCCATGATTTTCTAAAACAATACTTTTTGACTTCCCTTGGTACTTGCAATGGAAAACCATTTGCTCTGCTACATATGCTTTTAATTGCCTTGATCATTGCCTCCACACAATGGGCCACCGAGTTCCTGTAGAATGGGACCCACCAGCCCTGAGTTCTGGAAGCTGCTTTCAGCAGCGCTGATGGCCCAGGCACCTTTGCTTCTAGGTGCTGCACTCCATTTAATTTGCCATTTGGTGCATGGTTTACAAAAAGTCATGCATTCCTGCATAATTCACTTTCTACATTTGTCAGGAATGAGGAACACACAACAAGGATATAATTTTAAGATTTCTCTTCAGCAGTGGCTTTTAAGTGTTTTGATAATGATATCCCATCAGCTTTTCTTAATTTCAGTGCTACTGAATTTGGGGGCTGGATAGTGCTTAGTTGTTGGGGGCTGTCCTCTGATCTTCAGGATATTTTGCAGTATGTTTGGCCTCTACTCACTAGATGCCAGTAGAATCCGCCAAGCAAGGGCAATTAAAAAGAAAAAAATTGTTTAAATTTAAAACTCTAGACATAACCAAATGTCCCCTGACAGGGCAAGACGATCCCTGGTTGTGAACCTGTGGAGGAAATTATTATTACCATTATTATTTACCCTGGTGTCATTTCTTGGCTCTTTGTGGAGCCCCTGGATCCGTGTGTTTAGAAATTTCATGAAATTTGAAAGAAAAAAAAAATTCTGTCATGATTTCTTCAAATGCTTTTTCTGTGCTTCCCCCTTCTTCAGGGCCTCCAATCATGCACACACTAATCTTCCTCCCAACAGTTCTAGAAAGTCTGTACCATTGCACCAAGGCCTACCACAATGGGGATTAGCTGTCACGTACCTCAGCGCCTCTGCTTTCTCTAGGGTGGGGCTCTGGCAAGGCTGGTCATAAACTTTCCGGTAGACAGCAGGTACCTCAAGCATCCTTGCAATCTGAATGCTCCACACTGGATCGTCCACTTTATCTAATAGGCCACAGGGGGGAAAGGAAGCCACAGAAATGATACACAAATCCGTTCTTTCCCATGTCCCTCGGCTGCTGGGAGGACAAGGAAGAGGGTGCTCCCAGGACCATCAGCCTACGTGCACTAAGTGGTCCCAGCCTTCCTGTGAGCTGGAACCAGCTCCCCACGCATCAAAGACTTTGCCAATGAGTGACTTAGGAACAGACAAAGCACACAAGCAAACACATCGACCTGTCACTCTGGTGCATAGCAGGGACCTTCCTTGAGATTTCAAATGGACAACCAAGGAGTATTGCTCAGATAATATGCGACTCTCATCGTTCTGGTTAGCTGTTCCTTTCAAAGTTAGTAGACTCAATGGGATTCCAGAAATCTCTACCATTTCGAAGCATAAGAACACTTTGCTTTAATGGATAAGCACCTGAAACCTCAAACTCTGGAGTTCCCAACTCACTTGCACCTTTGAGAACTCTACTCAGCTGTCCAAAAGAAAACAAGACCATTATACATTTAGTAAGTCATTCGTTTTCTATCATTATTGAAACTTTCTCTTAAAAAATTACATTAAATTAGAAAAGCATGTTGTGCAATATAATTTCTGCCATTAAATAGTTAAATTTTCTTATTTGAAATTTTGGAAGTTTGCCTTTTAGCTAAAAAGAGCTTATGAGGCACACTCCAGAATGACAGCGTGTGTGCAGAAAGCTCTCGTGCTTACAATACACGGTGGCATGGACCTCGCGGGCTTCTCTGTACGTGCGGATATAGCCTCGGATGTGCAGAAGGTCTCCGATATCTATCTTTGTTCTCTGCTCAATGGTGTCTTGCAACTTCTTAAGCTGTGAGGTTATGCTCAGCTCTCTTGCTGTGCTTGGGGCAGCTGTAGCTGTTTGGGCTGGAAAGAAAGAGAGAAATTGCAACACAATCTCTATGTAACATGTGTGAGGTTATGCATTGGGATGTGATCCGAAAGGTCAGCAGTTCAAAACCACCAGCTGCTTACCCTCCTCACCAAACACCCCCCACCCCCCACCCCGCAAAAAAAAGGAAAGACGGGCTTCCTACTCCTGTAAATAGTTAGAGTCTTGGAAACTCATGGGGCAGCTGTCCCCTGCCCTTGGGGTCACTGTGAGTCAGCATCAACTCGATGGCAGTGAGTTTAGTTTCATTTGAGAGTAAGAACAGCACAATCCTGGAAGAAGGAACTGAAAGCTTCGTGTCTATTAGCAGGCTCGTTTCCAGAAACAAATAACTGCCATTTCTTTCCCATGGTGACACTGGCAATATGTGCACATTGACAGATCCTACAATGGCTTCACTCACTTTAGCTTATCAGATACGTAGGTGTGAGAAACTGAGGAATGGGAAGAGAGTGTATTTGGACAAATTCTTTATTCTCCTATTTTAAGACGCCTGGGAGGCCAGGATTCTGGGTGGAGAGAAGCCTTCTCCCAATCACATTCTCATAATTAAAAATAATCCCCACAATATCTTCGCATAATAGTGCTGCCTTAAAGTTACCTCTTACAAGCACAAGGCAGCTTTATCTATCTGAGCAGACGTGTTATGATTGATCTTCCTTGGGGGACAGTCACTCCCCCTCACCTGCCCTCAGCACTGGTGTCAGGTTACTCTTCCGATGAACTCAGGGACCTTTAGGGTTAGGGCACAGCCCACTTTGTTACCTATGTGATTACCTGTAACTAGAGTGGTTTGCATGCCCTGAGAGTATATAAGGTGATAGGAGAATACAATCTCTTCCTGCCTGGTCCTGGTTCTGAAGCCATGCGAAAAGTGAGCACCCCAAAACTTTTATCTGTCTGTTAATTTCTTCCCTTCAATTACACAACCACCTCTTAGGACCCATCCAGATGTGAGGCTGACCTCACACATAGGGTTAGGAATGGAATTGTGTCCCCCTCAAATATGTTTTCCAATCCTGACCTCTAGACCTGTGGATATAATGTAACATAATGTAATCACCTGGTATCTGTTGTAATGCAGTGTAATCACCCTCTACAATACAATCTAATGTAATCATTCTGAGGCTACACTAGTGTGGGGTGGATCCTAGAACTAATCACTTCTGAATTACATAAAGAGCAGCGCAGACACACGACATGCACTTGCCCAGGCAAAGACCAACGCCACGAGAGGACTGCCAATGAAGCAAGGAAGGAGTCAACGCCACTGAGACCCTGCCTGGACCTCTGGCTCCAGAACTGTCAGAAAATAAAGCCACACACTTGCAGGGTTTCTGGAATAGCAGTAAGTAAATCCCATATGGTTTTATTTTGTGCTTAAAGCACAGGCTGTGCATGTGTGTTGTAAGATCATTTACGCCCTGTATTTCCTTAGGTGCATGCTCTTCAGCTCTTATCAATACTTTGTTAATTCTGTAAAACTCGGGAAAACAATGTCGGTTTATTTCTTATGTTATTCTCATTCCATTGCTTTTTTAAAAAAATGTTCATTTGATTTTACTTATTTTGAAAAAAAAAAAAAAAAAGGAAAAATGTTTACTCCATCTGTCTATGGCTGATGGTACCTTTCAGGACTACAGGAGGAAGGTATGGGAGTTTACCATATGAAACGCCAACCGTCTCCCTTAGATTATTTCATGTAAGCTGCTAGACAGGTCCATCTCTTACAAAATACTGTTTTCGAGCCAAGTCACCAGGATGTGCTAAATGCTGGTTTATATCCATCCCACTGATGTATTCCTGGTTTAGCATATGCCACCGCCAGCAACCCCACTGCCAGTTGCTCTCAAATCAAGTCTACGCATGATGACCTCTTGTGTGTCAGAACAGAATTATGCTTCATCGAGCTTCTAATGGCTGATGTTTTGAAAGGGGATTGCCAGGTCACCCTTTCAAGGTCACTCTGGATGGACTTGAAATATCAACTCTGTTAGCTTCTGATAGTAACCATTTCTGCCACTCAGGAACTAATGGTAGTAGGATTTCTAGTATTAGTTCTACTTAGACAAACTATAATATAATGAGTACCTCTTTTGATCTAGTCATCAAATTTTCTATTTTATAACCAAATAGAGTTTTGATAACTAAGACCTGGTACTATACAGAGCCATTCATCTAAATATATCTACTCTACCACAGGAAACAGCAATTTAGAGATCTTATAGAACTTGGTGTATCAGTAACCAATACCTAAGAACCTGGACCCAATTAGCATTACTGCTACTTAGATTACTAAGTTGTTTTTAGAAAGGATTAAATAATTATTATTATTATAATTATTTGGATACACTATTTTTTAGAGTGCTTTTAGTCTTATAGAAAAAAAGTATGCAGAAAGGGCAGAATTCTCATATATTTCCTCTGCTCTCTGCAACCACACCATGCCATCGAGTCAATTCCGACTCATACAGACCCTATATAAGGTTCCCAAATGTATGGGAGTACACAGTCTCATCTTTCTCCTACAGAGTAACTAGTGTATTTGAACTGCTGACCTTGTGGTTAGCAAGCAGGCCCGCACCTAACCCATTCCTATTATGATTGATATCTTCTATTACTGTGGTCGATTTCTTGCAACTGATGGACTGATATGGACACATTATATTAACTAGAGCCAAGAGCTTACCTTAGAGCTCACTCTACTTCACAGTTCTGAGCTTTGACAAATGTCCCGGATCCACCATTACATTCTCATGCAGAAGGGTCTCCCTGTCCTTGAAATGCCCTGTGCTTCTTCACCGATTGCCCCCCTCCTTCCCTGTGCCTCAGCCGACCAGGGATCTGTTTGCTGCTGCTGCTGCTGCTGCTGCAGTTTGCCTTCTCCAGAACAGAACCACAGAGTCCGGTTTATGCAGACTGGCTTCTTTCCAGTCTCACTCGGCATGTAAGTTCTTCCAGGTCCTTTCCTAGCTTAATCTCTCATGGATCTCGATCGATCGCTGCACCATCGTTTGCATGTCCATCCAGCTACTGAAGGATAGCTTGGTTACGTCCAATTTGGGGCCAAGGGGCATGTGTATACTGCCTCTGTGTAGACATGATTTTACAGCCTATTTGGCTGAAATTAACAGGGGGTACAATTTCTGGGTCATCTATTAAACTTAAAAAAAAAAAAAACCCTTCCAGAATGTCCCCCAAAGTGTCTATATTTTGCATTTCCATTAGGAATGAACGAGAGTTCCTACTGCTCTCCATTCTCATCAGCATTTGGTGTTGTCAGTGTACTGGACATCATTAATTCTAATATATTCTAATGTGTGTAGGGTGGTTGTTCTAATATGCATTTTCCTAGGGACATAGCAAGGAGCCCTGGAGTTGCCGTTAGGCAAGCACTGGTCTGCTAAGCACAAGGTTGACAGTTCAAACCCACCAGCTGCTCCTTGGGTGAAAAATGAGGCTTTCTAGGCCTGCAAAATTTTACAGAAACCCAGTTTCGGGTCACAGGGGGCTGGCATCAACTCAACAGCTGTTGGTTTGGGGTAATGACATATGACATAGTGTATCTTTTCCTGTGTTTATTTGCCAGGTATAACGAAATGTCTATTTTAAGGTGACCAGACGTTCCGCTTTTGGCGGGACAGTCGCGATTTTTGGCGTTTTTAAAAAGTCTCGATTTTTTGAAAGAATGCACGACAAGCTAGGGAACTGTCTATTTGGTCCATAAAGACCAAATTTTTAATCAAGAACCCCCCCACCTCCCACCCCCGATCAATGGTGTCCCGCTTTAAATCTGGTCACCTTAGTCTATTCAGATAATTTTTGAAATGGATTGTCTCTTAATGTTCCAAGTGTTCTTCATATAACTTGAATACAAGTCTTTTATCAGATAGGTGCTTTACAAAGATTTTCTCTCAGTCCATGGCTCATTTTTCATAGTCTTAAGAAAGTCTACATTTTAAAAGGTTATTCCTTGCATGATAGATATATTTATAACAAATAAAAGCAGGAACAGAGCCTGCTTATGACCAACCAAAGACTTCACGGGATTCAGTTTCTTAGGGTGCTGTTTTCATGGGACATCCCATGTGTTGAGTGTTTCTGTTCTACTTCTTACTTGATTATGTAGTGTGCGGGGTCTTAAAAGCTTTGGCCCAGAAGCACAACAACTGGTCTCTAGTCACAGGGCGCAACAGAGGCAGGAGTGGCAGGGGTGAGAGAAAGAAGTGGAATATGTGGCTAATCACCTTCATGAATCACTCTGTCCTTTGCCACGAGACCAGAAGAACGAAACGGTGCCCGTCCTCCATTATGGAACATGCAGATCAAAGACTGTACAGGAGATTCTTGATCAAAAGGGGGGAAAATACAGACTAGAATTTCAAGTTGTCAGGGAATTCAGAATGCCTGAAGCCATGGAAGCTGGATGGATCCCCGAAACTTAAGCTTTAAAACAAAATCTGCCTTAAGGTCTTCCAGACGACAGTTTAGCTTAACTAGTAAAGAAAGTCTGCCTTCAGCATGATGCTCTTTTAAGATCGTCTAGTTAAGGCCAAACTGACCACTGCCCTTTGGAAGACGGGGTGGAGCAAGCTGAAGCAGGTGAAATGGCTGCACAATTGAAGAACGGAGTCATCAGGGTCCTGGGCGGTGCGTGTGGAGATGTTTGAACTAGGATCTGTTCTACCGTATACATTCTCAACAGCAGCAAAAAAGAAAATAAATTTCTTTTTAAAAGTCTACTCCATCTGGGTTCCTAGCTCCATGTCCTCTTCTAGTCTAGCCTGAATTGTAAAGATATTTCTAAATTTCATCTTCAGAAATGACAGGCAGTCATCGAGGCCCCCTGACTCAATCCGACTGGTGGCTGAGGAAGACAGGCCCAGCTTTTATTTCAAGGGTGCGCCGGACCACTGAGAGAGGGGCCCAAGCTGTGTGATTAATGAACAGCATGAGATGGCTGAGCCTGACAGGATCCTATTTTAAGTAGCCTATCTCAGCCTGACCGATGAGCCCTTGGAAGAGTCTACTATGAAAGTCTAAGCTTTCTTCACTTTGCTCTCAACACGGAATCCAAATGGTACCCTCAACATGACACTCATGAGTCAGCGTTATATTCTTATACCCTAACTGGCTCCAACGGGATCTTCACTCAGACTAAATGTAATCTTAACAATGAGCCTTCACTGGCCACTTGTCTATGGAAAGCTTTTAAATTGTGGGCGATTAAACTAAAAGGAGAGAACAGGCTAGTCAGGAATAATTTAAGACATAACTTCATGCATCAGATGAGGAGAATCTTTTTCGGGCGCCCTCCCTGTCCCGTTCCCACTGTTTAAAGCCTCACAGTAGGTTCCAATTAAAGCCACCCGCTGGGACAGTGCGTTTATGCATCTGCTGAGGGATACTTTCAAAGGCTCACTCTCATTAGTAAGAGTTGTTTCGGTTAACTAAAAAAATTACCAAGCATGTGAATTTTATGATATTCATGATGAGATTGCTTAAATGCACTTAACTGTCTTTAATGAACTCAGAGTTCATTTTGAAAATTAAAACATGATCTAAAACGGGGCTTAATAAACTACAGCCAGAGGGCCAAACCAGCCCAGAGCCTATTTTCTGTAAATACATTTCTTTTAAATAACGTTCTATTGTATTCTCCGAGGACGTTTGCACGGCAGGGTCGGTTCCCGTTGGAGCATTTCTACACACACTGTTCAGTGCATTAGTCATCTCGTCCCAGAGATGGCCATGTTCCCTTTCACCATGTGCTGGTGGGCCTGTTTCGGGCGCTCTAACTGCCCTGCCCCCTACCATCTCACCTTTGTCTCAGAGTACTAATTGATGACCTTTGGGTTTTCCAATGGGGCACTGGAATTTACAGATATGTTCCTTTATTTTCATCCTATAGTTTATTCCAAAATGTTGTTTCACTCCAAGGTGACCTTAAAGAAGAATTTCAGGTCCGTGTTTAAAGAGTGCCTCTAGTTTCAACTGATCCACTCAGTCGAGGCGTATCAGAATTTAAGGTCTGCTCCCTTTGTCCTTCCATTCCTGCAGGGCCTCGCTACCGTGGTCCTGATCAGAATGGTTGCCAGTGGGAACCGAGCACCATCCAGTTCTTCTGGTCCCAGGTAAATGAAATTTATGTTGGAACACAGTCAGACCCTTTATTTATGTATTACTGCCTGTGCTGGCTTTTATGATACAATGGTAAAGTTCAATAGTTGAGACCCAGATGACAGGGCTCAAAAGGTTAAAATTTTTTACACTCTGGCCTTTTGTATAAAAAGTTTGCTGACGTCTTCCATATCTGAGGCAAGTATCTACAATCAAATTATACCTTCTAATGAAAGATTGTATCAACAACCATAAATCTGCAAATGATTTAAATAGCCTAGGCATATATGAAAATCCCAACTCCGGTTATCAAATAGGTTTATGTCTTTTACCTATAAGGCATTTAAATTAAAAAAAACCTCTGGTGTCTTTTTTGTGTTTTGTTTTGTTTTTAATTACGGAACTTCCTAGACAAATTAGCGCCATTGATTTAAATGTCTTCATATTAGGAAATCGGAATCTCAAAGCTATGTGAAACCCATGGCCATATTCTCAACATAAGAACATGAGAAAATTAAAGAGCATTACACCAGGCAGTATTGTCTACCCAGGAAGGTGAGATCCTGACCATTTCCTTGTGCAATGGCAAACAGGCAAGAAGAAACGACTCCAAGTGTAAGGCACTCACCACGTACAACACACGGAAATAGACACAGATATCTGATGCAGACTAAGCGACATATTTTGAGTATTCATGCAGGACGAGGTTTGAAACAACAACAAAGAGAAGGTCCCCGTTTCTGTAGTTTCTTTACAGCCAACATGGCGTGGCATTTTTGTTGAGACCACAATCTCCCCAAACCAAACTTACTGCCGTCCAGCTGGTTCAGACTCGAAGTGATCCTGGAGGGCAGGGTAGACCTGCCTTCTGGAGTTCCCAGAGGGGAACTCTTCCAGGAGTAGAAAGCCTCATCTCTCTCCCACTGCACCCGTCGACAACTTGCAAAGGAATGTTGGTATGCCTAGACACTTGGCCTAAAACATCTTGACGTACATAATGTTAATGTAAGGTGACCAGATGTCCCGCTTTTGGTGGGACAGTCCCAATTTCTAACAATTTGTCCCGCGTCCCGTGGCGTTTTAAAAAAGTCCTGATTAAAAAAAAAAAAGTCCTGATTTTTGGAAAGAATGCATGAAAAGCTAGGGTATATGGTTTTCGGCTGCCATGTGGCTATTTCGCCAGAATATGAGTTTTATCAATGGTGTCCCGCTGGTGTCCCGCTTTACCAATGTTAAAATCTGGTCACCTTATTTTAATGACATGATAAATATGAATGATGGAAACCTCCCAGTGTCCTATTTACATTCCCATAGACTCAGCAGGAAAACAGCCCCAAAGAGATGGGAGAAAGAAAAACAACGGGCTCTCCTCTCATGGAGTCAGTGTTCAGAGCAGCCAAAGCTCTGGGCCCAATGCTTCACGATCAGCGTAACTCGTTAGTGGACAAGGGTGCAACTCTCAGCCTGCATCTCCTCTTGAGGAATGTCCGCTGAGAGCAGCGCAGTAAGGGAATGTGATCAATGGAGTGAATTACCTGATAAGAACTCAGGATTGCTCTTCTTCCAGCAGATACAGTTAATCACTCCCGTGCTGTCATCCACTGCAAGAAAAACAAATATAGGTGGAAGAGAGATGTGGCAGTGCTGGCAAATTAGCACGTGCCATCCTATTTTCAATAACCTGGGGGGCCACATCCATAGCCCATTCTCCAACCTTCAGGAATGTCTCCTCGTTTCCCAGAGCCAACTGACTGTCTGTACACGTCAGTGCTCTACTTGAGGTGAATGTGATGCATTCAACATGCCACTCGTCCTGCCTCCTTGTCACTCCTCTCTTCTGAAAATGAGGCCCCATCTCAATGATGGCTGACACGCACAGTCAGCCTTTCTCTCCTGCCCTGGAACAAGAGCACGTCACCCAGCCTGTGGTCTGGGGTCACCCTGTGTTACCCTTTGCTCCCTCACTAGCTTGCTAACTCACCAGGACACAGCATTTCCTGCCTTGGGGCCTGGGCTTTTCTTTGTGAAAGAGCTGCTGCCCAAGCCTTACAAATGCAGGGCATGTCAGTGAAGTCTTAGATTTTCATCAGAGAAACAATCAAATCCTCATCATAAAAGGAATGTTGGTCTGGCTTATTTTATCCCTGGCTGAAAACAAAGAGGGAAAAAACCTCTCATTGCACTTGGTTTAAGGGCTGTAAAGCTGTTTGAAAATGTTTGCTGGGGGTGTTTTCCCTGTGTCTGATCGCTGATACTATCAGAGCAGAGATGACTAAGCAAGGAGTCGGTGGGCCTACTGACTTTTTAGAATTCAGGACAGCTGATTGTAAAAGCAAATATAATACAGGAGAAACTTCAGACTTAGAAGAAACCTGCTTGCTCAACTCAATGATGGCAGTCGTAGTATCTGTGTTGCAAGCAGAGCCCAAAGTGGCTTTTTAATAAGATATATTCCAGATGGGTTTTATTTCCTGAAATTGCAACATAAATGCGAGAATTATTGGACAATATTATTAATATCACACTCCAGTAAGTTTTGCTGAAGATAATTAAAAAATAGCTGCAGCAGAACATCGACAGAGAACTGCCAGAAACTCAAGCACAATTAAGATAATGATGTGGAATGAGGGAGATCATTACTGACCTCAGGTGGATCCTGATTGAAAGCAGAGACAATGACTTGTGTTGCGTTGACTATGCAAAGGCATTCAACTGTGTGAGTCAGAACAAACTGTGGATGCCATTGGGGACAATGGTGATTCCAGAGCACTGAATTAGGCACACAGAGAACCTGTCCATAGACCAACAGGCAGTCGGTTGAACAGAACAAGGGGGTATGCATGGCTTACAGTCAGCAAAAGGAGTATATCAGGATTGTGCCCTTTCACTATATTTATTCCATCTGTATGTGGAGCTAACAATGGGAAAAAACAAACAAACAAAAACTGGACTGTATGAAGAAGAATGCAGCATCGGGATCGAAGGGATGTACAAGAACCATCTGCAATATGTAGCTGATGCTTGCTGGAAGCCAAGAGCAGGAACAGCTGAAGGCCAAAGCCTACAACCTTCAGCAGGGATTAGAACTCAGTGTAAAGGCAACAAAAACCCTCATCCCTGTTCCAATAGACAACAGCTGACAGATCCATGGAGACCAGGCTGGGCTTGTCCAGGACCTCCTTTCAGTTGGATTTGCTCTCCATGCCCACCAATGCAGCAGTCAAGGAATCAAAGGGCAAAATAATAATAATAATAATAATAAAATCAAAGGGTATCATACTGCATTGGGCAAATCTGTGGCGAAAGACCTCTTTCAAGGATTAAAAAGTGAAGCGATCTCTTGGGGGCTAAGGTGGGCTTGACCACAGCCAAGTGTTCTCCACCGCCTCAAAGGCCCGCAAAAGCTGGACAATGAATTAGGAAGACTGAAGAAGAAATGATGCATTTGAACTTGGTGTCAAAAAAGAACATTATACCTACAACTGTCGAAAGAATGAATCAATTTGCCCTGGAGGACGCACAGCCAGAATGTTCCTCATGTCTCAGACTTTGGACGTGTTATCAGGAGGGATCCGTTTCTGGCAAATGATCAGTGAAAAAGAGGAAAACCCTCACGGACACTTCGCCAAACAGACACTTCACCAAAAGAGACATTCAGGTGGCCGAGACAAAGGGAGAAATGCTCGTGATCATCATCCATTCAAGAGACGCAAATCAAAACAGGAGACCACCTCACCCCAACATCTAATAGCAAATTAAAAAAACAGAGAACAACAAATGCTGGCAAGGGCACAGAGAGGCTATAACCGCATACGCTGCCAGTGGGGCTGTCAGATGGTGCAACACGGTGGAAGGTAGGGGTGGCGCCGCCTAAGGAAGTGGGGATTAGAGATGCCATACGGCCCAGCCATCCTTCTACTTGCTGGATATCCTAGAGAAATAAGGGCTGTGACGTGAATGGATATACACACAGCATGTTCACTGCAGCTCTATTTTTAACAGCAAAAAGATGGAAACCACCCGTGTGCCCATCAGGGGAGGAATTAATAATTAAAAAGAAACTTTTGGAACGTGCACACAATAGAATACTGTGCAACATGAAAGACTCCTGAATCCGGGAGACAGCTCGCAGCATTGGCGAACTTGGAGGACAATCGGCTAAGGGAAATCACTCAAACACAAAAAGGACGGCTGCGTGTGAGAGACCAGCAATATAAAAAGACAAGAAGAGGCTTTCAACGGGAAAGACACATTCTTTGACGATTACCAGGGGTAGGAGATGAAAGGGAGGGGGAGCCATGAGCTAGAGGGTAGACAAGTACTCACTTTGGTGAAGAAGAAGGCAACACACAATAAGAAAGGGGTTAGGAAACGTGATGGGGCAGAGGGAGGCTGGGAGATTTACAAGAGAGGCAACAGTTTATAACTGGAAGGCAACAGAGGCAAATGCTGTTATATGTACAATGATGCAATATTGGGGATCTACAGGTCGATGCTTGTATAGACACATATGCTGACCAGGTGTGGGAGAGAGATTGGGAGTATACCCATACATGTATAAATGTGACAGAAGATAGCCATAGAAGCGTATTTGATTTTGCGGCAAATATATCCGTGAACATGGATGAACACATAAGGGATAAAGTTACGGACATCTTGGACATGACCAAATACATTGAGGGAATGAGTCACTAAGCCTTGGGGATCGGGATCATAGTCTTGGGGGACACCAAGGTCAATTGGCATACCATAGTTCACAGAGACAATGTGCTACACCCTACTGTGGGGAGTAGTGACTAGGGTCTTAAATGCTTCAGAGAAGCCATCTCAGGTAGGCCCAACTATTGGTCTCTTCCCACCAAGAGGAAGAAGAGTAATGAAAATAAAAGATACATGGAAAGAATTAGTCCAATGGCTACTGAACCATGCAAACACCAGTCTCACAAACCAGAAAAACTAGATGATGCTCGCTTAACACCACTAACTGTTCTGAAAAGGGTCAGATTAAAAGACTCTGGAGATAGTGGGAGAAAATGTGGAACAGTGACCTAAAACAAACAAACAAACA